GTTTACCAATAGTAGTTGGGAGACAGGAAAAAAAAATGCGGGAGCCACTCGTCGTTACATCAGCCAGAACAGAATGGGAGTTGTTAGCCTGAAAAAAAAAAAAAATTGGACACATTTTCAGGAGATCGAAGCACTTACGGTCACCTCCGATATGCGATGAAGATAATCTCAAAAAGAAACAATAAACAATGGTGACCCTGTCTCTTCTTGTTTTTCCAGCTGCATTTCTTTGTACATCTCATCTCACATGTTTTTTTTTTTTTTCGATCACCGGCTGTGAATTCCAGTGGAAGGTCCCGGTTAATCGTCCGCTTGGACTTTTGGCTTTCACCTGGACCTGATTTTTGCGTGTACAACCGTTTTTCATTTCCCTGCCTCATGGGCAGCTGTACTCCGACTTCGAAGGAAGACGTCAGGCCTATTTCTAGGGTGACTGTGGCCATTGTTTTGTGTGGGTCGAGACGTTGCCTGATTTGTGTGGTGTCCACTTTGTCTCCTTCGCCGCAGGTATTGCCACCGGAGTACCCCTTTGGGGCAGCCCCCTGTGGAACAGTTAGCCCTCAAGGGAAGGCAGGGGCAGATCATGGGCATTCCCCGCCATCCAAGGAGGCTTCCATGGATGCAGAGCCGGCACATGGCGCTCTGGTTCTGGGCTCACCCAAGGAATCGTCACGTCCTGCACATGCCTGCTTAACCTCACAACCGTATCAGGCCTCCAGCTCGACAGGGGCTGCGCCCTCTGGAAGTCAGCGGGGAGCAGCCCGTGGGTTTTGGACTTTTGTGACCACACAGATAGGTACATTCTTTTTTTCTTCGCACGTTAGATTTCTTTGACGAGCCGTTAGCCCGACAGAATTTTACATCCTGCATCAGACATATCGTTATCAGTTTTATCCCAACACTCGGGCGAGTGGGGTCTTTGGGTGTGGACATTCGGTCTTTTTCAGTTCAATACAAATTTTGATGGTCAGATTTTGATCCGTATGATCTAGTTTTGTCGGACATTTAGGCTTAGCCATCTGATGGATGGTTGCTGTTGTGTACCTCAGCGCGGTGACGACGACACTGAGGGTTAACCGAGGATGTAGATGAATGGCCAGCCTATGGATGGTTGCTGTTGTGGTGTACCTCAGCGCGGTGACGACGACACTGAGGGTTAACCGAGGATGTACAAGGACGGCCAGCCGCCTATGGATGGTTGCTGTTGTGGTGTACCTCAGCGCGGTGACGACGACACTGAGGGTTAACAGAGGATGTGCAGTGAACAATGTTCTCTTTACTCCGCAGTCTTTTAACCAAGGGTTGTAATTTTGGCTGTACGTTTGGCAAACCTACTCATGTTCCTAATGAGTTTTGATAACATTTTTCACCCAAGCGTTTGGGGGCGGGCTGATGAGAGCCACAAGGACACATCACCTCTGGGGGCCGCCGAACTCCGAGATCCCCTGACAGCTCTGTTAATGCTCATTTGAGACATTATCCGTGGCGCACGACGAGAACGTGCTGTAGGGGTCTTGCGTGAGGTTCCGTACAACCAGGATAGTAAAGGACTGGCGCCCGAGTGACGTACGGAGTATCTCCTTATACACATCATGTTGGACTTAACTTCCCCTCACGCCTGTGACATAAATCACCATGCCACATCTCACATGTTGACATTTTGCGTTTTATGTTCTTCTAGGACTGTCCATGTTTGGCACTGCTCCTACACAGCTGGTATAAATAGTACATTTATCAACTGCTTTTTGTGTGCATGTCGATATTTTGATGCCTCAAAAGTGGTGCAATTCGGTGATTTATGCTGCTGGCCATCTGTATTGTTTTTTAATTTTATTTCTCTGTCCAACCCTTCATCCATCCTCTGTGAACACACTGCCTAGGTACTTAAACTCCTTAGTTTGTTTCAACGTCTCTCTTTCAACAGTGATGACACGCTGAACTCGTGTTTAATTTACTGTCATCATTATTAAGTATTTATTTTCATATTGTATTTCTTGCAGCAGGTATCGACGCTGTTAATGTGGTGGTGGTGGTGGTTATCTTTACCTATGAAGAACAGAGTTTGGTCGTCTCATTAAACTCCTCCCGCTGGGGGTTTCCTGCTTTAGGTAGGTAGTTGTACCCCACCAAGACATCACACACGCGATAAACACCAGGTGACACAAAGTGCAACATGCGGATGAGGTTCACCCGTGGAAAGGTCACAGAAACCGTTTTCAGCCCTTAGGCCATATCTATGCCCGGCTATATTCAGGGCTCCCCGGCAGAAACCAGGGTGGGGCTTCAACCTTCATCCCACATAGGGACGACTTTGGTTAATATTACTATAATTTTGCTGCTTTGGTTATCTTACCCATACATAAAATAAACAAGAGTGGTGACGGTGTGCACCCTTGTCGTACCCCAGATCAAATCTGGATCCAGTTTTTCACGTCTTACAGCACATTCGGTTGTCTGATACATTGCTCTGATGTTTTATAACAGTCAATTATGCCCATTCTTATTCTTCTTTGTTTACCATCTGCAAGCTTTGTTGGAAAGTCCTGATTGTTGGCCATTTAGATATTGACTTTGTACCACGGCCTGAGTTTTGCGTGTACATCCTTTTTTCACTAGCATATTTAAGTACAGCTGACTGTTATTTGCCTCTCGAGCAGACGTACTCCGACTCCGACGGAAACCCCCTAATTAATCGACTCCTACGACAGGCTTGTTGGGAAGTGAGTCTATTCTTGTTTTCCCCCACAATGGGGACCTGGAAACCACAAGGGCAAATTATGCCTATCCAATGTGTGGTTAATAGTAGTGACGGCAAAATCCTTATCAGCTATGTGGCCAGAGTCAATTAAATAACGTCCTGTTGCAGAATTAGAATCTCTCTTCGCGGCTAATCTTTAACAAGGTGTTTCTACTGAGTTGTGTGCGGGGCTATCAATCGATAGGTTCTGTCAGTCTTCCAAATAGAAAATTCCCAAACAGTCCAATGTGATCTGATACTGTGGCTTCTTGTCTTTACAAACTGCCAGTTTGAAAATATCCTATGGTGCTAGACATCTCATTACCTAGTAAACATAAACTAGCTGGTCGAGAAGTAAGACGGCTAAGCGTTCATGTGAAAGACCTGGGTTTCAATTCACGGTAAATTAGTAAGGAGGGATTGTACTGGAGAATATAAAGAGATTGCAAAGGATATAACGACTCGATGAAAGTTGGTTAAAGGTCCAAAAGAAATAAAGCGGTCCTATAGTTCTACACCCAGCCAAATCACTGATCAGGGGGAGATACACGGAACTGTGGAGAGAACAAACCAACAGTATTCATCTACAAGATCCCATCAGCAGATTCAACAGACAAAAACATAGAATAATTGTCCGTCTAAGAACAGGAAACTGCAGGCAAAACTACCACATGGATAAAATAAAGACTGTGCCCAATGTGCATGCCAAACGGGTCCGCAAGCACCTGAACACAATCTACAGGACTGCCCACTTTAATAACAACTATGAAGAGCAAGCTGGCCCCAAGGGTACACTGTGCAGAGCAATCATGAAGAACCTGCAACCGACACGCGAATACACACAACAGCCCACCTGACGGTCTGACCTGGGCATACGAAATCATAAAGAAGAAGAAGAAGAAGAAGAAGAAGAAGAAGAAAAGAAGAAGAAGAAGAAGAAGAGAAGAAGAAGAAGAAGAAGCAGAAGAAGAAGAAGAAGAAGAAGAGAAGAAGAAGAAGAAGAAGAAGAAGAAGAAGAAGAAGAAGAAGAAGAAGAAGAAGAAGAAGAAGAAGCTAACGCATAATAGCGGCAGCGTTATTTTTCTAACAGCAGAGTCTGGGACAGAGTTTGGGGAGTCGACTCCTGGTGATATATTGGATAACGGTTGCACTTCAAAGAGGAAAGGAACTGGTCACATAAATGTAATTCCGTGACGTTATTAAGCTGTGGGATCAGCTGACATCTTTCTATCTACCCCCTTCCCCACGACATCCCTCCTTTTCCCACTTTACACCACTCTTCTTCTCCACACACACACACACATCGCGCGCTCTCCCTAC